ATTACCGTACCACAGGAAGAGACCTGTAGACGTGAGCACGGGGTTGTGTGTAAGATGGCCGTCGCATAATGGCCGCCAGGAGTGGTAAACATTGAGCTAAAGCAGTGTTGTTTTCACGGGCCTGTTGAATAAATTTCCAGCGCTGCTGTCCATATATCTTCTACTTGATCCTGGATACATCATTGTGGCATTTACATTAAAATATTTTTCAACGTGTTAATCGAAACCAGTCAAACGAGCTGGCAGATGCTAATCAGCTAGCGCTATTGAAATTCTAGCCCCGGCTGACCAGATTCAGACACAGCTGACCAGCCAATAAACAATTAACTAAGCAAGTCAGCACATCAAAACTTGCATAATTTGACCAACATTTGAGAAGCCATTGTTATCAATTCCATGTATTGAAATTCTAGAGCCGATTGACCAGTTTCAATCACAGCCGACCAGCCTATAAACAATTAACTAAGCAAGTCAGCACATCAAAACTTTCAAAATTTGACCACCATGTGGGAAACCATTGTTATCAATTCCAAACTGGACAGATGGGTAGTGACATGCTTTCAAACGTGGAATTGAGGTCTCGGGTATAAATGCAGGGGTATCTTGGCATAGGGTCATTCCTGCATTTCGCCTGAGAACCTCTCTGTCTGTTTTTGAAGGCGTGGAGATCCCGGAGTTAATTCCCCGTAACAATTCTAGGCATAAACGGTCCCTTAAAAAGGACGGTTTCAATAATATGAATATTAAAATTCATCATCACTTTTCAAGTTTACAAAAATGTCTCCAGTTGGAAGATGTCACAGATAAACAAGGATTCTAACTGAGTTTGATCGTCACAGGTTTATCTCCAATTTGCAGAGGATTAACAGTTACTGTGAGTGAGCATGGTTTTACGCCGCTTTTAGCAGTTACTGCGTTTATAAAATTCCCACAGATATCATGCCAAAAACGCTCACAGTGGTTAGTGAGTAAACTCAACTGAGGATTTTACAAGTCTGATCACAACCTTTGAAAGCTAACATGTGAATAAACTCAGTTCACTGAAACTTAAATAATTAAGGCACTTGCAGTGACCAGTTAATAAGTAATCAGTGAGATATTATAATAATACTGGGAACGCCAACCAACTTCATTATAAATAGACAAATGTACCCGTGAATGGTCAGGTTTTAAATACCGAGTGAAACAAAGACGAGGTGCCAGCCTACACTGGAAATGCTGTATGCTGCTTGTCCAGCCTGCATCAACACCTCTAGTGATCTATTCGTGATTCCGAGCCTTGCGCATAACCATTGTCATGACCTGGTTGAGTGACTTCCTTCCATCAACGTGAAAGGATTACCCACAGCGAAAGAAAGGATTAAAATCCTAAAGATATCCTATCCAAATGGTATAAGTACTCACAACCAATTTCCTCTAATAGTAAACTGTCACCTTTGGTATCCCCAATAACACTCACCATGGTCATTGTGCAAATGTAAAAATCACAAACCCACAAACGAGATTCTGTCTATATGGTCACACCCGGTGATTGTGAAGATCTAACATTCTATCAACAGTTTGTTGTTTTACGCCGCACTCAGCAATATTCCAGCTATATGAAGGCGGTTTGTAAATAATCGAGTCTGGACCAGACAATCCAGTGTTTGACATCATGTGCATCGATCCAAGCAATTGGGATACGATGACATGCATCAACCAAGTCGGCGAGCCTGACCACCCGATCCCGTTAGTCGCCTCTTACGACAAGCATGGGTTGCAGAAGACCTATTCTACCCCGGATCTTCACGGGTCGGATCCTATCCAAGCACTATCCACACATTACATCCATTGTGACAATGGAATAGTTTCATCATACATCATTATCATGTTTTGTGCATGCAGGTCATTGGTTCAATGCATAGAATAACAGATAATCAAGTATTAGCTTGGACGTCGTTTTAAAAAGGTGCCCTCGCAACGTTGCATTAACAGTTGTTCTGATTTGAGTCCATGGGTGGCCCAGTCGTCTAAGGCTCAGCAATTCACTGTGCAGAGTTAGGTCCATTGAAAACATATGATTGTGAGATCGAATCCCGGTTCGCCACGATTACCTTTCTAGGTTTGCCAGCACCACACCCGTGCTTGTGGGTTTCACCAAGGTGATAAACGTTTGAAACCTGCATTACTATGGGCTTTCAGCCCACGTCTAGCTGGCACGCCGTGATATAACTGGGATACTGTTCAAAACGGCGTTAAACCCAACACACTGACTTACACAAATCCTGACCTCAAATGTGAGGTGTCCTGTGTCAGGATTACATATATGGTTCAATGTTCAGTGTTTCATGATATATGACTGATATCATGAGCATTGACCCACGCAATTGGGATACCATGTTAGCGAGCCTGACCATCCGATCCCGTTAGTTGCCTCTTACGATAAGCATAGTCGCCTTTTACGGCAAACATGGGCTGCTGATCTTCACTGGTCACGAACCGACCTGATGACATATTGCTTTGTATATTATTACACATGTATGCTGGCCAGGTTTCCCCACGTACATCAATACATTGATTAGACCATATTGATATCCTATTTGATGCTAATGTACCAGTAAGTTGGTCAAGCCTTTGTTTTAGGAGACTTACATGCTTTCTATTTTAACATAGAATACCAATGTTGTTGATTGGATATATATACCCATTGTTGGATGTATCGTTAATGATTTGGGGATTATGTGATATCTTAAAAATGCAGTAATTGGTGCTCTTATACAACAATTCGTAATTCAACGTTTGCCATGTCCACATCAGATGTCGATTCTCCAAATTTAATTGCTCGATATTTTTATGACAGTTCATTAATCACCAATCACTGTTATAATACCACGTCACAAACGGGATCAAAGGCATTGCTCCATTCAACATGTATCTTGTAATATACAGCAAACGCCAACACCATTCCCTGATGTATTTAATTAATATGCGTGGGTGTTACACACAGTGTAACCGCTAAAATTAGAACTTGGAAATAAAAGTGACATCCGTGTACATTCTACGAGTGCGACCATATCAAGTGTTCATGTATAACTATGAAAAGTAGTGATGACATCGGATGTTTGCGAAAAGGTGCGATTTTTCTGCCCCACACATTGCGAACACTGTAAAGGCAAGTCAACGTCTCACATGGAAATGATGGCCTGAATGTGAGAATGTTAGTAATTGTAAATAAGTCAATAAAAGTTCAAGCAGTGATGATGTCAGTTCACAAATGGGCCTTGTTCTCGGTAGCTATTGAGACCACTACGTGACTCCAAAACTGATCCGCATCATCATGATTGAAGAAGGCTTTGGGTCCTAGCTAGCCCAAATGTTCTGTGGCTTTAATGTTTGGCGATTTGGACAGCCATGTGAAAGTGGTAATGTAATGTATTCATAGGCAAGAGTGGAACGTGCAGTCCGGCGTTATCTCTCTTATATTATGGTCAATAATAAGAATCATGTGTAAAACGTGATCCCTGTGACGAAAAGCTATTATAATTGTCCCGTTTTCACAAGATAGGATATCCACAATTATTCTTATGTTGAATTTTGTTTAACGACACAGTCAGCAAAAACAGACAAGCTAGCGACGGAAATTATATTTTATATTATTGTGTAACAAGCAGAGGCATAGGCAGATCCAGGGTTTCTGGTGTCACCACCCATCAATTACCCGTAGACGCATGTTTCACGAACTGACCAACAAGCAGCACATTGTTAAACGACTTTATTCTGCAATTTTAACCATTTACGTCCGGAATAATGCTGAGCTCTCTCATTCACCCGAGTGACTCAGAATTGGTGATATGTAGTCCCAGGAACTGGCTACTTTTTATGTTTCACTTTTTGTTTCCTTATATTTCTTACTTCCTCTTTTTTCAACTGATGTTTTTGTAACGTTAAATAGTCGAATAAAACAGTGGCTGTTGATGCGTCTTTTGTCCTTAAAAGCATAAGTCACTTCGCTAAAATATTCTGATCTGTCCATGTTGTGGTGTTCGCTCATTTAGAACGCTGAGTTTTGCTGTACGCGTCAGTGGAAACATTTTCAATAAAACGAAGCTGCAGGAACTACTTTCTTTGTGTTTCAATGAGTTTCCATAGAAGAGAACATATGTCATTTCTTGCCAAATATTGAATGAATGGAGCACGTTTGATCATTTATGTCAGGTCAGTTGATGAGAAAACATTATTTGAACAGAAACACCCTGATACATCCCTTCTCAGGCGGTGCGTCACACGTTTCACGTGAATATTTCACCCTGGTTACAACTTAATCGCGGTGTGAAGATATGTGTGATCATTTTTGTTAGAAAATCAAAATTAAATTGTATTGCGAGATTTGTTTTTAAACAAATGCATTGTCAACTGACAGCGAGAGCACTGTATTTTTTGTAGCCTAATTTTCGAATTTGCTAGGTTTTATATTTTATCATTTTACTGACATTTGGGTTCTCCTACGTTCTGTACCGCTTCAGACGTTTCCTCCGCATGAACCTACATGTAACACGCTGGGATATAACTTACATGAAGGAGAGGCGATACAACTTTGGAATGGTCAGCAGTCCGAACATGACCATAAAGGGATCGAGCCTACAGGAACACAATTAATAACAATGGAAAGTTTATGTTCCTCAAATGAGCTCAAATGCATTTCTGAAGAAAATTCTGACTGATTTGTTTTGTACTGCAGAAATTTCTGGAAGAAGCTTTTTTATACCTCCAGAAATTTCTGCCAGACATTTATTATTTACCACTTTGTATTATGTACTTCAAAATATCGCTCAGCAGTCATTTTTGTAGTAAACAACACGTTGGTGTTGAAACATTAGGCTCTATAGTCAATCAATATATTTTGCAGTAAGAGAAAATCATTTGGCCTGATAGACTAGGGAATCGTATCAAGATTTTCAACAAATCATTTCATATCTCTCATGGCTTCAAATGCCCGATTAGCTACAATGAAAACCAAATGGTGGATTTTTCATACTTTTATTATACATGGTTTGATACAGAAAAATGGCGTGACACTATAGTTCATGAAAGTCAGCCTCACAAGTATGATATTGAAACCACCTAGTCCCACAGTAGTTGTAAGTGTGGCATCACGTTCGAGTGATTAGAGGACGGTGCACAATCATTCGGGGCACAACTGCGAGTTTTCCAGGTGGTACCCGGTCCAAGTAATGCCCATCACAGTGGCCTTTGTCAGGTACCAACTACTTGTCCTCCACAGCTCGTTCAAGTCTTGGTGGATCAAGTGATTCATACTGAATGAAAAAGAAAGACAACGTTACAAGTAAGCACTTACAAATTGGTGACATGTAGAATTAGTATTGTCGTAACATTGATTTTCAGCCATCAGCGCCTATTGTTTCTCATAATTAATGCTATCTGTCTCTGCTAATCAATTTGAATGGCACTGACAGCATCGAAGCAATGCATTTCATACTTCATCTCGCCATGGATGTTGATCAAACAACCGCGACCATAATTTTAAAGGTTTAAATTGTTACAATATTCCCAGGTGTATGGGATCCATTTCTACCTTATGGCACTAAGCTTACATATTTACAACAGTAATGCTATTCTACAACTATCTACAGATGCAAGGACAAACATGTAAAACATATATGAATAAATATATTAAATTACATGCAACACAGTACTAGTCCCTACATAATTTTTCTTGAATAGCGAAAACTTTACCACAACAAACGTGTATCATGACCCATTTTAACATCCATCTACTCAAGTGACAGATGATCTCATCAATACATGTTTTAGATTCATCACGGATACCTCATGTTGCCAAATGCAGTAGAAATTAGTCCTGTGCCTCAAGCTGTCAATGTAAGGACTCTTGGTTTGATAACTTCACCTCTGTAATGGGAAAACAGACAAACTGACTAAATTGTAGTAAAGGCCAAACATAACATAAGCTCAATGCATCACAACTTAAAAACAGTTCTGCACAAACATTACTAAGAAAGTTGTTGGCACTTCCAGTTAAATGACATCATTTCCCGTTTGGAAAGAAGACAACTTCAAAACAGAAAGTGTTATTCCACAAGCTACCATAAACAGAAAGTTATAAGCACTTTTGGTGTAATGACCTTGACCTCAATTTAAGAGAATCACATGTTTGATTATTTTTAGTTGAAAACATAGGTGTAAGCTCTTACAAACATGTTATACACACACATTATTTCCTCAGTACGGAAAGGAGCAGAAGTACCTTAAGACAAACCAATCCAGTGACCTTAATCTTCATAGAAGGTCACTCAAAACCTCATCACTTCAAAGCGCCGCCCTCAGGACGTCGTCCATCAACAACTGGTGATGAGAACTGGTTGTAAAATCATAATTGCTGAACTAGTGACGTGCCAACCAATCGATCTTAGGAATTAATTGGTTTGTGTCATTTTAATGTTTTTCAGTGCTATGTCCAGAGAATCTAGAATACACTTAACAAAAACAAACAAACAAACAAACAAACATGAATGCTGACCTTCGACGTCAAAACATTTGGGGGATTGTTATGGAAAATTGCATTTGATTGCCTAGTCATTTAGACCTTATAGTAGGTCTTCGTCATTTCAATTAATTGTAACTACATTGAACGATTTTTATTATTGAGAACACGTGACCTTGACATTATCAATATCAACTGCAATATTTTCAAGGGTTAACCAGTATATAAAACCCAATATGAAGTCTCATGGTGGAATTCTATGTCACAACGAAAATATGGTTCATGCTTTTCATTGAAAATAGGTCACTGTGACCTAACAAATATCTGCAGAAATAGACACCGAAGTAAAAGGCACTGTTCTGCCTCCAGGGTGTCCTCGTGACAGTGACACTGAATATCTTCTGGCAATCATTTCCTCAAGAGGTCTCGAATAATTTCGTGACAGTGAATTATCACTGAATATCTTCTTAGCAATCAATGCTTCGAGATTAACATTCTTGGAACTTTCATACCTCTTCATGACAGCGAAGTGTCATTGAAAATATGTCTTTGTCTTTGTGACAGTAAAGTGCCACTCAATATATTCTTGGCAATCCATGCCTCGAGATGTAATTCTTCTGCTTCCAGGGTGTCTTCGTTACATTGTATTGACACTGAATATATCCTTGCCTGTCGTTGCCTCCTCATGATAAATGCCACTCTTCTGCCTCCAAGTTGTCGTCGTAACGAAATTGTCAATGAATATAATCTTGACAATCATTGCCCCTTGTGGAGTTATTGGCACTCTTCTGTCTCAAATGTGTCTTCGTGACAATGAAGTGCGACTCAATATAATCTGGGCAATCAATGCCTCGAGATATCAAGGAACTCCTTTGCTTCCAAGCTGTCGTCGTGACAGTGAAGTGTCTCTGAATGTATTCTTAGCAATCAACGTCTCGAAATGTCCTCATGGAATTCTTCTGTCTCAAGGGTGTCTTCGTGACAGTAAAATGTCAAGGAATGTATTCATAGCAATCAATGCCTCGAAGTGTCCTCATGGAATTCTTCTGCATCCAGAGTGTCTTCCTGACAGTAAAGTGTCACGGCACGGAACGTATCCTTAGCAATCGATGAATAGAAATATCCTCTTCAAACTCTTCTGTCTCAAGGGTGTCTTCGTAACAGTGAAGTGCCACTCAATATAATCTTTGTAAGCAATGCGTCGAGATGTCAAGGAACTCGTCTGCATCCAAGGTGTCTTCGTGAGAGTGAAGTGTAACTGAATGTTTTCTTAGCAATCCATGCCTCGTAATATCCACTTTAATCTCTTGTCTCAAGGGTGTCTTCATGACAATGATGTGCCACTCAATATAATCTTGGACATTAATGCCTCGAGATGTCATAGAATTCTTCTGCATCCAAGGTGACTTCGTGACAGTGAAGTGTCACTGAATGTATTCATAGCAATGAAAAAATCGAACTACCTCTTCAAACTCTTCTGTCTCAAGGGTGTCGTCGTGACAGTGAAGTGCCACTCAATATTATCTGGCAATCAATGAATCAATGTCATAGAACCCTTATGTATCCAAGGTGTCTTGTGACAGTGAAGTATCACTGAATGTAATCTTTGCAATCAATGAATCAAAATGTCTTGATGGAATTCTTCTGCCTCCAGGGTGTTTTCCTGACAGCGAAGTGTCACTGAACGTATCCTCAGCAATGAATGAATGGAAATATCCTCTTCAAACTCTTCTGTCTCAAGGGTGTCTTCGTGGCAGTGAAGTGCCATTCAATATAAAGTTGACAATCAATGCCTCGAGATGTCATAGAACTCTTCTACATCCAAGGTGACTTCGTGACAGTGAAGTGTCACTGAATGTATTCATAGCAATGAATGAATCGAAATATCTTCTTCAAACTCTTCTCTCTCAAGGGTGTCTTCGTGACAGTGAAGTGCCACTCAATATAATCTTGACCATTCATGCCTTGAGATGTCAGAGAAATCTTCTGCATCCAAGGTGTCTTTGTGACAGTGAAGTGTCACTGAATGTATTCTTAGCAATCAATGCCTCGAAATGTCCCCACGGAATTCTTCTTCCTCCAGGGTGTCTTTGTGACAGTGAAGTGTCACTGAATGTATTCATAGCAATGAGTGAATCGAAATATCCTCTTCAAACTCTTCTATGTCGAATGTGTCTTCGTGACAGTGAAGTGCCACTCAGTATAATCTTGCAATCAATGCCTCGAGATGTCAGAGAATTCTTTTGCATCCAAGGTGTCTACGTGACAATGAAGTGTCAAGGAATGTATTCTCAGCAATCAATGCCTCGAAACGTCCTCATGGAATTCTTCTGCCTCAAGGGTGTTTTCCTGACAGTGAAGTATCACCGAACGTATCTACAGCAATGAATGAATAGAAATATCCTCTTCAAACTCTTCTGTCTCAAATGTGTCTTCGTGGCAATGAAATGCCATTCAATATAATCTTCACCATTAATGCCTCGAGATGTCAGAGAATTCTTCTAAATCCAAGGTGTCTTCGTGACAGTGAAGTGTCACTGAATGTATTCATAGCAATCAATGTCTCGAAATGTTCTCATGGAATTCTTCTGCCTCCAGGGTGTCTTTGCGACAGTGAAGTGTCACTGAACGTATCCTCAGCAATGAATGAATAGAAATATCCTCTTCAGACTCTTCTGTCTCAAGGGTGTCTTCGAGACAGTGAAGTGCCACTCAATATTATCTTGGCAATCAATGCCTTGAGATGTCCTCAGGTATTTCTTCTGCTTCCAGGTTGTCTTTGTGACAATGAAGTGCCACTCAATATATTCTTGCAATCAATGCCTCGAGATGTCATGGAACTCTTCTGCATTCCAGGTGTTTTCGTGACAGTGAAGTGTCACTGAATGTATTCATAGCAATCAATGCCTCCAAATGTTCTCATGGAATTCTTTTGCTTCCAGGGTGTCTTTGTGACAGTGAAGTGTCACTAAATGTATTCTTAGCAATCAATTCCCAAATATGAAAACTCTTCGGCATCCAAGGAGTCTTCGTGACAGTGAAGTGTCACCGAATGTATTCACAGCAATCAATGCCTCGAAATTTCCTCTTCAAATTCTTTTGTCTCAATGGTGTCTTCGTGACAATGAAGTGCCACTCAATACAATTTTGGCAATTCCAAATTTCCAATGTCCACGTATTATCTTCAGATAACACCCATTTTTTTGAAGGTGAATCGATCAAAATCATGTGCACAGCACTCTAGTGACAAAAGTGGTTTTTCACCTGCAACTGGTCACGTGGCCACAATACCGCACGTTTTTTCAGCCATACTTGTTAGCAGTCATTAATAAAAAAAGAAAAACACAAGAAAACAAAAGTCTTTACGGCCATTTGTCATGCCACGCCTTTCAAATGTGAAACGTGAACGTGCCATCGGCATGTTGCAGACGGGAACGTCCGTAGCTGAAGTCGCAAGGACGATGGGTTGTAGTCGACGGACTGTTTATGATTTACAGACGCGTCTACAGCAAACGGGTACCACCGCTGATCACCCTCGGCCAGGCCGACCACGTGTGACGTCACATGCAGAGGATCGTCAGATTGTCTTACATCACCTCATTAACCGATTTTTGACGGCTACATCAACCAGAAATGAACTGTTTAGGGGTAGACTGAGTGCGCAAACTGTTCGAAACCGTCTGAGAACTGTTCACCTTCAAGCACAACGGTCATACTGCGGGCTGATTCTGACTCAATTACACAGACGTCAACGTCAATTGTGGGCACAGCGACACTTACGATGGACTCAGAGGAATTGGAATCATATCGTCTTCAGTGATGAATCCCGATTTAATCTTCGATTTGCTGATGGTAGAACGAGGGTGTGGAGGCGCCGTCATGAACGTTACGCCTAGTGTCGTGTACAGGAAGTTGACAGATTTCGAGGCGGAAGTGTCATGGTGTGGGGTGCTTTCTGTGGCAATGTACGTTCCAGGCTTTTTGTCATCAGTGGCAACCTCAACGCTGCTGCTTACCGCGACCAGGTACTGGCACCATAACTTCTGCCTGTTTTGCAGCACATGCACCCGGTTTGTCTTCCAACACGACAATACCAGACCCCATAAAGCAATTTTGACAAGGAACTTCCTTCCGAATGCGGGAGTCAACGTCATGGACTGGCCGCAAAGGTCTCCCGACCTCAATCCCATCGAACACGTCTGGGATGCTCTTGGCAGAAGTCTGCGCACTCTCCAGAACCAACCACAGAATTAGCAAGATCTTGGCACCATTTTGCAGCAACAATGGCGTCGTCTTCCCGATCATGTGTTCACAAGCATCAAAAGGTCTATGCGGAGGCGTTGTGTGGCAGTTGTCAACGCACATGGTGGCCACATACGCTAC